ATTATAAGAAAGGCAATTCTCACATATATCATAGAATGGCCTGGGTTGGAAGGGACCTTAAAGATCATCTGGCTCCAATCCCCCTGCCATGGGCAGGGACACCTTTCACTATACCAGGTTGCTCAGAGCTCTGCCTAACTTAGCCTTGAACAGTTACAGGAATGGGGTATCCATAACTTCTCTGGGCAACCTATTCCAGTGCCTTACCACTCTCACAGTAAATAATTTCTTCCTAATATCTAATCTAAACCTACTTTTTTCAGTTTGAAGCCCTTTCCCCCTTGTTTTGTCACTATATGCCCTTGTAAATAGTCTCTCCACATCCTTCTTGATGGCTCCCTTCAGGTACCGGGAGGTTGCAATTAGATCACCCCAAAGCCTTCCTTCTCCAGGTTGAGCAAACTCTATTTGTGATGATATTGAGGAGGAAAAGAAGAAAACCTCCAATAAAGAGGTTTTTCAGCTGCAGCTCATAACACAGCTCTTGTTACACCACCTCACTTTATCTCTACATTAGCTTTAAGCTTCAAGTTCACTGCACTGCAAATGCATCTGTGGGTGCTGCTGACAGATCCATTGCCCTGGAGTCTCCCCAGCATGCTTGATGAGCCCTTCTTTTGCTCTGCCACATGTTCTCAGTATCTGTTTCCTTAACATTTCCTGAACGTAACTCCATCCCAGAGAGCCATTAGAGATCTGTTTTCTCATTAACACCATTCTGACAAGGAAGCTCATTGAGACATATTTTTCTTTTCCTATGTAATAAGACATTTTTTGCTGTTCCCTGGGCTAGGCCTTCATTACATTCTTGTCTGATGTTTTTATCTTGATTGGCCATAATTACTGTGCCATCTAACATTTCCAGTTCTTTCACATATCAATTTTTTAAAGCTCTTTGTTTTAATTCCCAAAAATTAGATGATCTCTTACAAATCTTTCTCTGATGATAAACAAAAATTCTACTCACAAGTAAAATAAAAATTATAAAATCACTTATATTGTTTTGTCCTTCCAAATGAGCAGATTGACCCTGGCATTCAGACCAGATGGAGATCAAAACAACATCTGACCCATGGTTTCTTGAAGGCCCATAGACCATTTCTAAAAAGTCCACTAAAGATGCATAAATGCATGCCTATTATCAGCAAGTTTCAGTATCTGCTAAAATCATCAGCACCATAACAGGAGATTTGGGGCGATCCACAGCTAAGCCTGATAATCACTCAATTAAACCGAAAATCTTAGAATGTTGTCTGTAGGAATGTTTTCTTGTTATTATTTATAATTATTCTGCAGTTAGTAAGCAGGACAAAAAGAAAATAATCACGAGTGAGCCACGCTTCAGACTAGACAAAGACAGGCACACCTATGGACACAGCTTCACTCTTCAAGATCCCTACTCAAAAACCACCAAAGCTGAAGCAGTTTCTCTTTCCACTCTCCATCCTTTGCCTGCATTCTTCATCCCTAAACCTCCAGATGAGAGCTGCTTAAGCCAACACTACCCCTGAATCTGTATCTGTGGCCTCATCCCAAGTTCAAAGCATCCAAAAACATCTCCTAACAATTCACCCACCTTAAGAGGCAGTAGGTTCCTGTGGTTTTATTGGAAAACTTGAGCACCTAAGCTTTTCTCAGTGCACAGACCAAGGATAGTCAACATCTTGCCTGAAGAGAACAAGACACTATTCTTCCACCCAGTGCATTTATGCCCATCAAGGAAACATAACCAAATTCATTCAGTCTCCTCTAAGCACATCATAAACAGGAAGGATAGAAAACACTGCCATTCCCTTCTAAAACATGGTGGGGAGACGCCTCTCTCTTGCAAGCTAGCTTCTCATGTCAAAGGAATAGACTTCCCCGGACTGTTTAGACCTTCTCTTTTTTCTTGTATAAATTCAAAGCAGTATCAACAACCAGAAACTGTCTTGGAAGCTGTGGACACAATCCACAGTGGTCCCATTTCCAAATTACTATGTTGGTTAGTGACAAGGGCACCTTTTCAGCAGATGGGAGGTGGGGTTTGAAGCAGTGAGCTGCATCTAGATCTCCTGCTTCCCAGGTAAGTGGTCCCAGACAGTAGGTTATTACATGACAGCTGGGTAGCAGCAGTTCATTTTTCAAAGAGAACCGTAGAAAACTCTTTTCTCAGAGCCATTTTTCAAAGCCTCCATGCTTGAAGGAAAACTAGGCACACAAATTCAAGGCAAGCTTCCACCTCCTGGAACTTGAGTTCCTCCAGGCACTTGGCACTAGAGATACTGAATTTATCCACTCCTACATCCAGCAGAGGGAATCATGAATCACCTCTCTCACAAACAATTTTAAGACAGTTGCTGTGCCCCTCACACACTTGGCTGTCTGTGGCGAGTCACTTTCTTCAGCACTTAGGTCTCCTCCATTCACTCCATATAGCAGCTAAACATTGCTGATTCTTGGTCTGGAGCCTGGTATCCAGCACTGTGACACTGTTTGTTCATGTCTATGCTTCATTCATGTGCTGTACTATTGGACTAGATGATTTTTTAAGCAACCCAAATCGTTCTACAATTTGTTGCAGAAGGAAACCAATGTAAACCCTACAACTCCCCATCATCTGTCTTACTGCTCTGTCCTGGCCTCCCGGACACCCTATGGACCTCCTAACCAATCTTCTGATACAGTTTTGAGGCAGTAGCATCCAAACAGTCCCAGCAGCTAAGGATCCTTAGATCCTAATGAACAAGTAAGAGACTGGTGCACTAATGAAGAACTTGAGCAGACCAACTTCCATTCTTTTCTTGTCTACAGATATCTTATACAACTAGAGGCAAA